GGCGGTTGCTTTATCTTTCCTTTAACACCATTAGTCACCGTTACCCTCCGGCAATTCCAGCTAAAAGGTCAGTCACTGCTTTTGCTCTAGAAGAGCAACAGAAAATAAAAGCAAATTTACTAGATGAAGCAAGATTAGATATTTTGAGACTCAACAATGCTCTTGGACTATTTTTTTTTTTTTTTGAGACGGAGTCTCGCTGGTGTTGTCCAGGTTGGAGTGGCAGTGGCGTGATCTCAGCTCACTGCAAGCTCCGTCTCCCAAGTTCATGCCATTCTCCTGCCTCTCAGCCTCCTGAGTAGCTGGGCGTACAGGCGCCCGCACAGCGCGGCGCGATCTCGGCTCACTGCAAGCTCTGCCTCCCGTGTTCACGCCATTCGAGAAAGATTCTTTTAAAAATATAATCATAATACCATTATCAGTCCTTAAAATAATTGATAATCATTCCTTAAATCATACCTTATTCAATGAGTATTTAAATTTCCAACAATCTTATAAATATTTCTGTTTTGTTTACTGTCTATTTTTATGTTTGGATCAGGACTCACATAAGTCCATATATAATTGGCTGATGCGTCTCTTAAATCTTTTTTAAATCTATAGGTTTAACCTGATTCTTGCAGTTTAATTTTTGTGGAAGCTGGTCATATGACCTATAGAGTTTCTGAGAATCTGGATTTGTATATCACAATATCCCCATTATGTTTTTGCCCAACACCCTTTGTTGTCTCTATGTATTGTATATGGCATTGGAGTCTTATGGGACAGATTCAGGTCCCCTGTCCCCCCATTTGGAAGAAAAAACAACCAAAACACCATGTTGGCTAGGCTGGCGTCGAACTTCTGACCTCAGGTGATCTGCCTGCCTCGGCCTCCCAAAGTGCTGGGATTACAGGCACGAGCTATCGCATCATTTAAATGTACTGAGAGGCTGGGCGCGGTGGTTCAGAGCTGTAATCCTAGTACTTTGAGAGGACGAGGCAGGCAGATCACCTGAGGTCAGGAGTTCAAGACCAGCCTGGCCAACATGGTGAAACCTTGTCTCTACAAAAAAAAAAAAGAAAGAAAGAAAGAAAGAAAAAATTAGCCCTGTGTGGTGGCATGCGGCTCTGGTCCCAGTTACTCGAGAGGCTGAGGCATGAGAATCGTTTGAACCCCGGAGGCATAGGCTGCAGTGAGTTGAGATGGCACCACTGCACTCCAGCCTGGGCGACAGAGCAAGGCCCTGTCTCTAAATAAACGTTGCCGGTAATCCCAGCACTTTGTGAGGCCGAGGCGGGTGGATCACCCAAGGTCAGGAGTTCGAGACCAGCCTGACTACTATGACGAAACCCTGTCTCTACTAAATATACAAAAATTAACTGGGCATTGTGGCATGTGCCTGGTCCCAGCTACTCAGGAGGCTGAGACAGGAGAATTGCTTGAACCAGGAGGCGGAGGGTGCAGTGAGCTGAGATTGAGCCACTGCACTTCAGCCTGGGCGACAGAGTGAGACTCCATCTCAAAAAAATTACATAAAAAAAATAAAAATAAATAAATGTAGTAAGATTGCAGAGTTGTGCAGTGGAAGCGTGCTGGTTCTATCCATGTAGTGAAGGCAGATTTCATCCACAAATCTCACAAGAACTTTTAGCCCCAGTTGCCTTCCAAAGAAGCAGTACATGGACTGACGCATGGGCTGTCCCAAACAGCTCTGGAAAGAAAAACAGAAAATAGAAAATGACACGCTCAGCCCTTGAGGCCAAAATGCCCTTCCCCAGAGCAGCTGCCAGAAGACAGGGAGCAGGATCGGGTTGGGGGTCACTTCTGGGTGAGGGGAGAACGGTCAGACCCGGGGCAGGGGTGTTGGAGCCTGGTCGGCCTCACTGGAACAGAAGAGAGCTGCTTCGTGATGCTCAGCTGACTGGCAGAGCCTTGCATAACCCAAATTCTCACGGTACAGAGAGGCCAGCCAGTGCGGGGACAAAGACAGGCATGCACAGAAATGGTTTCCTGGAAGACAGCCCAGTTGCATCTCTCAAATGGGACCAGATCGGAAGGGAGACCAGCTGCTTTGGGCAACTGAGGTTGCTTCTGGGCGAGCTCCCAAACTAGATGGTGCCGAGGGCCTTGGACCTGGCAGCTGGACTGGACATCACATGACCCTGTCTTCCAGGAAACGGCCTCTTAGCCCTTGACTGGCCAGTTCTCCAAAAGAACCATCTACAGGCCATTTCTCCATTCCCCTCCTATGCACAGACTGGGCGGGGCCTGACCAGAAACTCCCCCTTAGGGTTTTGAGTCACTGCCAAAACTTGAGCCCAGCGGTGAGAATGTGATGTTAAAATGTGACTCTGGGTCAGGCGGTGGCTCGTGCTTGTCCACCCAGTGTTTTTGGGAGGCTGAGCTGGGAGAATCACTTGAGGTCAGTAGTTCAAGACCAACCTGAGGAACATAGATCTCTACAAAAAAATTAAAATAAAAATTAGCCAGCTCTGGTGACATGCATCTGTAGTCCCAGCTACTCGAAAGGCTGAAGTGGCTTAAGCCCATGAGTTCAAAGCTACAGCTATGCTGGTGTCACTGCACTCCAGCATGAAAAGCAGAGTGACACCATGTCTTGAAAAAAGGAACAAACTAGGCATAGAAGAAACATACCTGAAAATGGCCAGGCCCAGTGGCTCACGCGTGTAGTCCCAGCACTTTGGGAGGCTGGGGTGGGTGGATCACCTGAGGTCAGGAGTTCGAGACCAGCGTGGCCAACATGGTGAAACCCCATCTCTACCAAAAGTACAAAAATTAGCTGGGCGGGGTGGCAAGCGCCTCCCAGCTACTCGGGA